GCTTATAAAAATGCTCAATGAACTTAGTGAGGGCCTCAAGAGCATAAAAAGGGACCAGTCAGAAATGATGGATGCACAGTCAGAAATGAAGGAGGCATTACCTGAAATAAAGAATAATTTACACAGATTCAATAGTAGAGTACGTAAGTCCAAGAAGCAAACCATTGATTTGGAATACAAGGAAGCAAAAAAGCAGAATAGCAAATTGAAAAAAGAATCCAAAAAAATGAGGATAGTGTAAGGAGCCTCTGGGACAACTTCAAGCGTGCCAACATTTGCATCTTGGGGGTGCCAGAAGGAGAAGAGAGAGAACAAGAAATTTAAAACCTATTTGAAACAATAATGGCAGAAAGCTTTTCTAACTTGGTGAAGGAAACAGACATACAAGTCCAGGAAGCATAGAGAGTCCCAAACAAGATGAACCCCAAGAGGCCCACACCAAGACACATCATCATCAAAATGCTAAAGGTTCAAGACAAAGAGAGAATCTTAAAAGCAGCAAGAGAAAGGCAGCTAGTTACCTACAAGGGAGTTCCCATTAGGCTGCCAGCTGATTTCTCAAAAGGAACTTTGCGGGCCAGAAGGGAGTGGCAAGAAATATTCACAGTGATGAAAAGCAAGAACCTACAACCAAGATTACTCTACTCTGCAAAGCTGTCATTTAGAATTGATGGCCATATAAAGAGTTTCCCAGACAAGAAAAAGTTAAAGGAGTTCATCACCACCAAACTGTTATTGCATGAAATGATGAAGGTTCTTTTTGAAGAAAAAGATAAAATATATGAACAAACAAAATGGCAATGAATACATATCTGCCGACAATGGAATCTACGAACAAAATGAACAGGCAGAACAGAAACATTCTCATAGATACAGAGAACATTTTGTTGGTTGCCAGATGGGAGGGGTGTTGGGGGAATGGGTGAAAAAGGTGAAGGGATTAAGAAGTACAAATTCATTGTTAGGCTGACAAACCTCAAAGGGAAAGGGGTTGGAGGGTGGGAAGAAATAAACCAAAGAACTTGTATGCATAACCAATGGACACAGACAATAGTGTGGGAAAAGGTAGGAAGGGGGCAGGAATGAGGAGGAAGAGGTCAATGGGGAAAAATGAGGAACATCTGTAATATCTTCAACAATAAAGATTTAAAAAAAAGAAATGAAAAAATAATAAATTTATTGATTTCCTTTCTGAGATTATTAAACTGCTTATCTGAATTTTCTTGCATCTCCTTGAGTTTTTTCAGAACAGCAACCTTGAATTCCCTGTCATTTAAATTACATATTTCTGTGTGTTTAAGTTTATTTTCTGGAGATTTTTTACTTTGTTTCTAAGTTGCCTCTTTACCTTGGTTTTTTATGGTATCTGATGAGTATCTTTTCTGTCTAGGCATTTATGTGTGGGTGGCATTTCTATAGTAGAGTGATAAGAAGCGCTTCTATTGTTTTCCAATAGGTGGCAATGAATCACAAGATTTGTAGCTCTCCTGCACTTGTCTGCCTTTTCAGGTCTCTTAGGTGGTGGGAAATGGGCTGTATTGCCTGGGAAGGTGAATGTCTCCTCTGAGTTCCAGTCCCCTTGGTCACAGGGACCAACACTGTGGAGGGATGTTGTGGATGATGGGGTTCCAAATCCATGAAATCCCAGTGCTGTCCCATGCAGAAACACACTTCTCACAGTGCAGCTGTGATGTGTGAGGCTGAGGTGAACTGGGAAAATCTTGCCACTTTCTTTGTTGCTTTGCTCTTTCAGGAATGTTGATTGGCAGACTTCTGAGTCACAGAGTGTGCTTGTCCTTCAAGGAAAAAGTTTCTGTAGTATCAGTTTTCTGCATGCAGATAATGTGTTCTGCGACCCAGCACTCACTGCACAAATTCTTCTAGGGCTGCTGTTAGTTCTGAAAGGGTAAAACCATGTCTGGCACTAAAGGGACACTCAATGGAGATGTGCAGAGTAAAGAAATGAATGAATGGAAACATATACAAGAACTAATCATAATGCCAAAATGTAGGCAGATAATTATTAAATTAAATAAATTAATAAGATGTACTGCTTTACCACAGCAAAATATAATACTAAAATTTTAAAATAATATTTGATTGCTAGTAAAATATACTTGGAAAAAAGTATGCAACCTGTAGGTTGAAGATTATTTTAATTTTGTAAATAAACCCATACACAATTTGTATAGGGAAATCATGAAGGAAAATGCACCCAGAGTTCTAGAATTTTTAAATAGGCTAAGTACAGGTTATATTTATTCTCTTTCTTTTTTCTATTATAATCCAAATTTTCTGTAATTTGTATGTATGATTTTAAGTATCAGAAAAATCAAACATTCTAATTTGGAAGTTTCTGTTATTTCATCAAATAAAATACAAAATGTAAGAAGAAGAAAGGCAAGCAGCCTGAATCTACAGAACTTCTTTTAATCACCTCCACCAAGTTCAGAAATGCTCTCCACACCCCTAGAAGCAAGAGATTCTGGTAGAACGCATGGTAGATAGTTGACGGTCAATACTCTTCAGAAAATGGATAATAGGGGTGATCAACGCCACTGAAAGAGAAGGAGGCATATTCATTTACTTATTTGGTCCCACGTCCAAGACACAGCTTCTCTGGGGATGCAGTCAGGATGGGCTAAAAACTCTGTTTCTAACCATGCCCTTCCTTCTGCCTCCACACAGACATACAGCTGCCGGTCCATGCGCCCAGTTCCCACATCCACATGTGGTAGGAAAGCCAAGAGACGGGTGGTGTGCTTTACATTACAGTTTTCCATAGAATGTAAGAGCCACGACTGAAACGTGGCAGTTCTTTCAGCCCATGTGTCACTTTTGTCCCTAGATCATGAGAATGTTCACAGTGAGGAATCTGCTGCTCTTTTTCACAAATTCACCCAACAGTTCGGGTTCCCACTATTATAGAACTTATACTCTCTTGAGGAGCTAATATGCATGCCTACATAACCATACCTGCCAAATGTAATTACTACTTTCATATAATTTATAAGAATACTTGTTATTCAGTAATTAGTGTCACTGTTGTTTTCTCTCTCTCTCTCTTTTTTTTTACAGGTTATTTTCCTTTTTAAATTTGTCCTTTTTGATTTGATTTCATTAAAGTGCATTCTGGGACATTCTGTGTGCCAGGAGCTGTGCTGTTGACAATGGGCCAGGAAGACCAGTGGAAGTACAATCACAGACTTATAATTTAAGGTCCTGGGAACAGAAAACTTACTTCCCACATTTTCTTCATTTATAGTTCCTCTTCTCAGACTCACAACATGGCTTTACAAATAAGAAGGCGAGTTTTGAGATCTTTCTTCTAAAACTCAATCTTGATGTTAAATTAAAATGTTATTTCTTTATCTCTAAACTCCCTTACAAACTCCTCTGTTTGATGAGTGTCCCTTCTCTTCAATCCTGAGACCCTTCTGCAGTAACTGAACAGCGGGCCTGCTATGTTTGTGAACAAGTCAAAGTCAAGGAGTGAGGGGCTCCCGGGAGCTGGTCTCCTGATGGACAAAGGCGATACTGAATGACCCTTGAGTTGAGAAACCAGAGAAATCCAGAGGATCTTATGTTAGTGTATGTTGCGGGGGACACATCAGCCACTAAGGTCAATTAATTTTGTGATCCACTTATAATTCAGTTTGGTGAGATTACATGAACGAGGAAATGGGGTTTGTGATAAGGATAAAAGGCCAACGAAGAGATACATTTGGAGGAAATGGACAGTGTCTTGGAAAAAGAATGCCAGGTTAAGCAGGAATGTCACTGACCTTCAGGAAGAGGTGGAAGCAGGTCTACATTATGACTCCCACATCTACACACACTTCCCTCCATGGGCCCCTCCTCCCTAACAAATATTAATGTTACATGTTACAACTGCATTAGGACAAAAATGAAGAGTCCAGGCTGGGATCATTATTACATGGTCATTAAAATAACCATGTTTTCTCCTGATTTTAAAAAGAATGCAAGATGCCTGGCCTTGTGTGGCTCTGTGGTTGAGCATCGACCCATGCGCCAGGAGGTGGCCAGTTCAATTCCCAGTCAGGGCACATGCCCAAGTGGGCCAAATCCCCAGTGGGGGGCATGCAGGAGGCAGCCAATGGAAGTTCTCTCTCATCAATGTTTCTATTTCTCTCTCCCTCTCCCTTCCTCTCTCTCTAAAATTGATAAAGAAAAAAAAAAATGATGAAACATAGGCCCTATAAACAATAATATAAACAAAGCCACTTTTAAATGGTGCCAGAGCACCTATCCCTGAAGAACTAACTGCCTTGCATGTCTTATGCAACACACTCTTGTAATGTTATAACGGGCAAGATATCCTTTGGACTGGGCCTAACCAACACTGTGTTCCAGGAAACTGTTTAGAAGGATAACAAGAAAGTATTTATTATGAGGACTGGACTGATGACCACGCGACTGAAAATTAAAAACATTGTTTAGAATTAATATCACTGCCTAGCTTCATGGGTATTATTGATCCCATTCCCTTATAAATACCCATTACCTTTGTCTCCCACTCTGAACATTATTTGGGCTTCTGCCTGAATTAATGATTCTTGAATAGCTATTCTTATTGATCTCATTAAATGCTTGTTGCCTCTAACTCTGAATAGCCTTTTATTTTTAGATTAGCACACCTAAAAGTATAGTGGGCTGTAGGCACTGTGCCTTCTGTGTCAAATAGGAAAGTCAGATCTGAGTGGAGGTGTACCAGGCACAGGAATTAGGGCACAAAAGTCATAAATTGTCCATGATGCAAACAATGGCCATTTACTTATGGTCTGTCCTGGGCCCCAGTCTCATTTCTGTTGGGTCAGTGACGGAGCCTGGAGTAAACCTCTGGTCTGAGGTCTCCAGGAAGCTCCTGGTTTATTTCTACACCAGAAATCAGACCTGTCTCTCTTCTTTAAGAAACCTGAGTTCCTCTGCCAACCTAAATGTTACCAAAAACAACTTGGGAGAAATGATCTACAAGTCACTTACAATGATAATCTAAAATATCGGAAATTTCTGTTGAGGTCATCAATTGCTTTCATGTCTTCTGGGGTCAATTCAAAGTCAAAGACCTGAAAGGAAGGAAAAGAATCACATTAAACTCTCCCACAAGGCGGCCAGCTTCCCTCGGGTAGCATGTAGCATGAGGACTTTCTGGCTGGACAGAAGCAAGGAGAGCACAGTGGAAGGGCCTCCGCCATCACTTCCAGGTGAACTGGCCCGAGAACTCTCCTCCTGGGCCCACCGCCTCTTCTGCCCCACTCCCTCTCCTCCTCTGCTCCACGTCACAAAGAAAGGCTTTTAGAGATCATCGATCTCAAGTCTTTCCAAGGGAACTGTTTGCAACAGAAAGCTTTTCCCCTAAACAAATAGATGGAGTTGGACAAAATGGACGAAATACTTGCTGCTGGACCAAACTTTAGTCCAGTCCTAACATGTACCCTCCCTGCCCCCTGACACACACCCTAGAATTTGACTCAGCCTTGAACTTAAGCAAGCTTTGGAAGGAAGCACAGCCCCCCTGTAAAGGCCTCTGCAAGAAGCTACTGACCTCAGGAAAAGCATTTGCTGATCAACTATTCAACCACACACCTGCTCATTCTTTCTCTAGTCATGTTTACTCTTCTATAAAAGAAAAATCTTCCTGTTTGATCTCTGAGACACAGACAGAGCCAACAGTCAGAAAGTTCTCCTTGTTGAATCAAGTATCTCTTACTTAAGTTCAGATTTGTTTTTGTTTGACAATACAAATTGACTCTCCCTTAAAGGAGAGTTAATTAAAAACAAAGCAGACAGATCTTTGATAAGAAATATTAAAGTGGCAAGCACGTTATTTCATCCAGAGGACAATTTCATAGAAAATTCAGTGCCTCTCTCTGTATTTGTCTACCTATTTATCTATTATCTTCCTTTCCATCTTTTATTCATCTTAAAAATATACTACAGAAGTATCTTGGTTGTCATGGGGATGTATATATGAAAATGATTTGAACTGAAAATGAATGGGATTTTTCTGATTGGTTTAACAATAAAATTTAGATTTGCCTATTAGACATTTCCAAAAATTGAATGAACTAAACCTACAGCTTCAAGGTTTTAGAGCAAATACATGATAAATAATACGCTCTACATGTCATTTTTGCAAATACTAAATTCATGATGAAATTGTTAACTGTCATCATAAAAGGAGATAGAATTTATATGGTTTCTCATGAAGTTCACAACAAAATAAGTTAAAGATCACTGATTGACTTAAGAGATCAGAAGATATATGAGGGAGAGTTTAAGGGAAAAAATTATTCATTCGTTTGTTAATTAGGTCAGTTGATGAACTTACATGCAGCTTCCTACCTGCCAGGAGCTCTGCTGGCCGTGCTGAGAGGTGACCCAGAGGCAGCCACTGCATTTACGGTCTCACAGTCTAGAGAGCACACGACATGCAAACTAGCAATTTTAGTTTAATATGGAAAAACTGACTAACAGAGCCCTGCCAAGTGCTATGGTGACCCACAACTGTGCTGGGGCACCCCGGTGGTTCAACAAAGCAGCTAGTCCTATTTGGGTTTGATATTAAAGTACAAATAGGGGATCGTTAGGTAGAGAAGGTGAATGAGGGGAACCTTAAAAGTTCTTAAACATTCTTTACTGCACGGAAGGACTCCTAAAACCGATGGAAAACAGACGAAATGTGCTCAGTGTCACACAACTGGGAAGGGGCAAAGCCAGGCCAGAGGCCATAACACCTAGGACTCTGAGGCCAGTGTTCTCTCTCCCACCTTTCCAAGCTGCCCCATAGCACAGGGGAGAGATGCATGGGAATGAACGAACATGGGTGGGTGCGGAAAGGCAGTACAGCACCCATTCTCCACGTCCGGTACCTGGAAGTTCTCTTTGATTCTCTTCTCAGTGAAGCTCTTGGCCAGGACCACCACCCCCCGCTGCACTTGGTAGCGCAGGGCCACCTGGCCTGGACTTCTTCTGTGTTTCTTGGCAATGGCATTCAAGATCGGCTCCTCCAAGAGAGCAGGACTATCCTTTTCCACCCTGAAAACAAAACCGAAACATATCGGTCTGAAGCGTGTAGGACTAGAAATCTAAAGTGTGTGTCCTTTTTCCCCAAATTCCCCAGACAACCGAGAGAAGTGTGTCCTGTGCAGTACATCCATTTGTCAACAGTGTACTGCTAAGATTTATGCATTGCAAGTCTTATAAAGTTTATCATAAGATCACTTTTAAAAATGACGTTTGGAGTGGGGTTTGGATTGGATGTACATATGCATGAAACAAGAACAAAAGAATGCTGATGATTGTGGAACTTCAGTGATGGTACATGGGAACTCACACACTATTGTGTTTATTTTTTTATGTGTGAAGTACTCCATAATAAAATGTTAAATCTTAAATTTAAAAAGTGCTTTTCAAAGATAGAGTTGCTGACATACGTTAACTCTGCCATTCTCATTACCAGTTTGCATCTCTTTGGGACCCCAGGGCACTGTAGGCAACAAGAACAATGTCCTTGGACTTGCAGAATTCCAGGAGTTTGCTCTGGTTGAGGTATGGGTGACATTCCACCTGTGAATTGCCAAGACCAGGAGGTATCAGAATACATGAGCCAATATTATGTAATTTGAAAAGCCTCTGAAGAAATATGTAATATATGTACCACATTTTCCAGATTGGTCCTTTTCTCATGCACTTTCTGAAATACCTTCAAGTGCTATCGGTTTTCAGAAGTGATAAAACAATTTTCTTATTTTTGTATTAGTGTTTAAAATTATTAAAGACTGCCATATCCGGGTTGTGACCTCTACATGTCATCTCCTATGGGAAAAAACCAAGATTCCTTAGAAAAATGGCTGATTCTAGTACTGGGCAAAACAACTACAAATTGAACCTAGAACACCTTACATTCTAGAAAATAAAGACAGGAAGGACACTGAGGGATGTCAGAGGACTCGAACTCACCTGAAGAGGCATCTTCTGATTAAAATGGTGACAATTCAATCATCAATAAGAAAGTAACTACATTTGTTGAAATATATGAATTCACAATTACATATATGTGATCAACTCTATTTTTTTTAAATCTTCACCTGAGGTTATTTTTCCATTTATCTTCAGACAGATTGGGGGATGGGCTGCAGGGAGAAACATTGATGCAAGAGAGACACATTGACTGGTTGCCTCCCGCACAACCCTGGGATGAACCACAACCAAGGTACATGCCCTTGACCGGAATCGAACCTGCGACTCTTTTGTCCACAGACCAACACTCTAACTACTGCACCAAACCAGCCAGGGCTGAGATCAACTCTTTAGATGGAACTTACAACTTACAAGAAGAACAAAAGACATAACATGTCAAATTATATTACAGGGATCAATCAGTGAAACCAATTGTGAGGAAAAGTTTAAAAATTTTAAAAAATGGCCTAGATTCTCTCACAAATAAATTGAGAGAAAGAGAGAGAAAGGAAGAAGGAAAGAAATGAGGGATATATTTCAGCATATTATAAATTATTTTCTACAAATATATTCTTAGAAGTAAGTAACTAAAATGAAGGGTATAAATATTTTAATGGTTTCTTGCATAATTTTCCAACTGTTTTACAAAAGGGATATACAACTTTATAACTTTATAGTATCATAGTACTTGAACATTGACAACATTGTTATTTTTTCAAATTATTTCTTTTAATTATGATATATCCACTTCCTCACTTTCCACTGCTGTGCTTTCTCTCCGGTGTTTCCGCTTACCGCTTCATACCTGCTCCTGCGAGGTTCCCATGAACTCCGTGTCATAAATCCCATACCCTTGCTCTACCTAGTTGGCTTGGCTGTTCCCAGCAGGATCCACTCCATAGCTCACGCAAACCCTGTCAGGCATCTTCTTTGGCTTCCCTGACACCATGTGCTCCTCATTTTCACCCTCCCTGTCTGCCAACTCCTACTCCATCCCCTAACCCATGCCTCTTTGCCTAATCCATAAATGTTGACTTTTCTGCCCTCTTCCTGTTCATTCTATGAACTTCGCTAGGTGAAGGAATCCATTTCTCTAAGTTTAATTGCCACCCATAATGCAATGACTCCAAAATATGTATCTCTAGCCCTGACCACCTGCCTGAGCTCCAGACCAACACTAGCATCTGCCAACTCAGCATCTCTATGTGAATGTCTCCTGGGAACCTCAAACTCATCCCTGAATAACCTGAAGTCATGATCTTCTCACTTCACTCAACCTGTTCCTTTTCTGGGATTTCTTACTGCAATACAAGGAACAAGCATCTATACAGTTGGCATCAAGCCAAAAACTTGGGGACTCTTAATCTAGAAAGAGGATGTGATGAGCAAAGAACAAAGAAGTCGCCATGGACATGGGCTCACCTGGTTGCAGACGGGCTTGTACTTGAGCCCTGGCTTGTTCAGAATCATCTCCAGAAGTTTGTGATTGAAATTGGACACCCCGATGGACTTAGTTAAACCTGCGTCCTTACACTTCTCCAGGGCCTAGGGAGGAAGGTCACGGGTGGCAAACCTTTAGTGTAGTTCAGCCCTTTCATTTGCCATTGAACTTTGTAAAAACTCAAAATCTTAAGGTACATAACAATTACACTGAACCAAACAGTTTTATCACCTGGGTACCTTTTTTCCCCTAATGTACTTTATTGCTGTGTACACACAGCTTTTGTCCTTTAGTCTGTGACAGGCACACCCAGGGCAATAGGTAGACATGAAGACGCTTTTAAATTCCCTTCACATCCCTGCCCCCTTCCATGGTGTGTATTTTGCTGTTAGGCAGGTAATCGATCCTTAAAAAATGGTGTCAGAGTGTATTGCAAAGAGGAACGCTTAGGTTTTACATTAGCCAAAGGTTTTTCTGCTTCCTCTTTCCTAGAAGGCTGCAATGGGTATATGGAACAGAAGGGCAGTCCTTACTCTCCCCGTCTAGTGACAGCAGCTCCCCCCTCTCCGGTGTGCTTATCTGTACTGGGATATAGCTCTAACTCCTCTGGAGCTCGCTTCTGACAATGACCCTTTCAGAGCTCACAGGCTCAACCTGATCTGTGGGACAAAGAAACCCCCTACTTAGAACCACAGAAGTTTACATTAAAAATAGGCCTCATATGTGATCCCCTTAAACTCCCTTGCTTTACAGAGGAGAACACTGAGCTACCAAGGAGTTCATGTCTGAGGGCTGACAACGGATGGGGCCAAAACCCATTATTTTCTGACCCCCATTCAGTGATGTCCACTTTGTCCCTGTGCCTTTGGGGGGCAGTAGCAGTAGTTACCTCCCAGGTGTCACGCAGGTCCACTGTCTCTAAAATAACCTTCCCATTGGCATCCTTTGGCAGAAGCTCCTCTCCAGGCTGGAATACAGAGGGGAGAGGATGAAGAAGAAAGAGCTTATTAAAGATGATTTTCCTGGTAGGTAAGTAGCCTGGTAACACAACTTTCAAGAGGCTGTTATTACTAAGCAGAGAGAGCAAAAGAAAAAGAAGGAGAGAGAGAGTTGTGTAGAAGACAGTGGGGAAAAGAAAGACAGAATCACTTGAGACACTGTAGCAAAGCGACTCTCCCCCAATTACCTCCACCCTACTGTCCACACACCCGCCCTCCCCTCAAAACCTCTCTAACAGTGAGTTCCACTACAGTTGGAATTGATTTTGTTTCCCAAGGACAGGCTGGTTTGGATGATGGGATTTCCTTTTACTATTAAGAAAGTGTTTTAGTTGCAGTTCATGATAACCCGACTCAGAGACAGTGCGAACACCAGGTGTACTCGGCGAATGTCCACTGTGATGAGAGGCTGGACCGACAATGCCCAAAGGAGTCCAGAGTGCATTATGGACCACCCTCGGGTGCCTCCCTTTTGATTGGGCTGAGAGATCCATGGGCAAGGGACCCTCTCCCTAAACAGGTGTGTGGACTTCCCATTGTGTCTCAACTATCTCTGTAACTCAACGTTCTTGAGGACCCTCTTCACTAAGAGACTAGATCACTTAGTCATGGAGGGCAGTGTCCTCCACTCTTGGAGGTGGAGGCAGTGAGATCACTGAATTCCCATCCTTCTAGAAGCTATGAAATAAAGATAAAAAAATCTTGATGGTGAGCTGACACAACTGTCAAGGAGAGGCGTCAATCACTTAGCATTCTACCTACCACACTCCAATCTACCACTCAGTAAGAACCCAGACAGTCTAGCCTGAATGAGATAATGGAGGTGCAAGAGCAGTGATGACATAAATACCCTTGGGCATAACAAGGAAACAGAAGCTGACCTTCATAGCAACTGGCACATGAATGATGAAGAGATCTACATAGTCCAGTTGAAGTTCCTTCAGTGACCTTTCCAGGGCAGGTCGGACCAATTCTGGTCGCAAGAAAGTAGCCCAAAGCTGCAGTAACCAAAAGAAATAAAAAATGCCTTATAGTGTCATACATTTGGGAACTGAAATTAAACATCATAGTTAAGAGATTGAGAAGGAGTACCCAACCACTGTGGTGGTCCAAACATAAGAAATTCTGGGACAAAATTTATGTAACTTAGTATAAATGCGGTTTTCAACGGGATACTGAGATTTATTTGAATGACTGTAAGAAAACTATAAATGAAACTTAGATGGGCCAGGAAAAGCAACATAAATGTTTCAAAGTTTTGAAAACTCATCTCTGAAAGGAGAGTCAAGACATGTCAGGTGCCTGGCCGGAGTGGCTTAGTGGATTGAGCATCATCCCATGGACTGAGAGGTCCCCATTCGATTCCTGGTCAGGGCACCTACCCAGACTGTGGGCTTGATCCCCAGAAGGGAACGTGCAGGAGGCAACCAATGGATGTTTCTCTCTCACATCGATGTTTATCTCTCTCTTCCTTCCTCTCTCTCTAAAGAAATCAATAAAAACATATGTCAGGCAAGGGGGAATGGAATCTACTCCCCTGTTTAATCAATGTCTAGGAACAGGACTGCTGAGCTGTCCACATTCTGAAAACAAGTCATCACTGATGCAGAACATTGTGCAGAGACCTCAGCTCTCTTTATGTTGGAAGCAGGGTTTTCCATCTAAGAAAATTTTTACAAATTGCAGTAAACTCGGTGCTGACTTGAAAACAGTATTTCCTAGTCTGGCTCCCTTCTCAGAATAAAATGTCCACCTCACTTGGATATGTGCTGAGAGAATTTGCTGACGAATGAAAGGGGGGACCCGCTCTGCAGTGGCTCTGTCAGTCCACACAGCAGACGAAGAAGGCAAGTATCCTCACATGTGAGTGCTGCCCGTGTTCGGAGGGATTGGACAACTGTGTCCCAGCCGTGACACATTGGAGAGCACAGCAATCCTTTTCTGTTCTGTGTTTCTGGAATGGGCCTTTAACCATGTTAGGAGGTAATAAATTATTCAAACCAAGACCAAAGTTTTTTGTGTTTTGTTTTTTTCCCCAAAAAATAACCTGTCTGTTCTGGCGGCAACTCCCCCGTCACGGCCCACAGCACCTTGGTGGTGTAGAATATGTCCTCTCTCTTCACGGTGCCATCTGCGATCTTCTCTCGAATCGCCTTGCCGACCTCCTCCTCGTTTTCATAGATGTATGCTGCATCGATGTGACGGAAACCTACATCAATTGCCATTTTGGTGGCCTCAGCAGCCTTGCTCTTAGGAACCTATAAAACATGAATAAGGAGGGTTGGCAGTTGACCTGACTCAGAGAGAAGCATGTTCACCAGGTGTTTGTTCATGTCTCCTATTTCCCCCGTTTATGGGGCAAGCCATGTGAACAAACCAGTACCTGGGGGCATGGATTCAACTCCAATATAACCTCTAATCTGAAATGGATTAGTGAAATGGGCTTCAACATGCAACATGGAAAGTCAAGTCATTGAATAAAGAATTTGTTCAACAGGCCCAGGAATGGAATAGAACCTGGCAAACCCTCTCGTCCTCATGCCAACTTTTCCACTGGGGAAAGTTATGTTGCCTGTTTGCTCAACTTTAGAATCTGCCAGATTAAAGAATCTGGTTACCAGTGGGGGAAACCTTCTTCCAGGTGACACGGGAAGGGTTCCCCTAACCTAGTGCCATGGCCGCCCCCTAGTCATGCAGGGTTCACCAGCCAGGAGATCCTGAGTTTAAGAGGATTACTATCCAGACAGTGGTAATTGATCCTGCTTTTCAGAAGAAGATAGAGTGGCCTCTATATGACTGTGGCACAGAGGAGCAAGTCTGGAGTTCAGGCAAGTCACTAGGGTGGCTCTTGGTGCTTCTATGCCTGGTAATAATTGTGAATGAACAATGTTAGCAAGTACCCCTGGGCAAGGGCGAGGAACCACGTGCTCAGACTTGTCGGTAATCACCCCATTAGACAAGCAACCTAGGCCTGCAGAAAGGCTGCCTGAGTGTCACTGGGATCTAGAATGGCTGGCAGAGGGGGCAAGAAAGATTATAATGACCTTGAATCCCACTGGAGTAGTGGAGAATGTCTCCTGTTATAAGTCTTGGTTTTGGTGTTGTCATTGTATAGATAGATAGATAGATTATTTAATGAGAACATCATGAATAATTTCTTAATCTCATTCCAACTGTTTGTTTATTAATCTTCACCAGAGGATATTTTTTCCATTGATATTTTTAGAGAGAGTGGAAGGGAGGAAGGGAGGGGGAGAGAGAAAGAAACATCGATGTGAAGGAGACACACCAATTTGTTGCCTCCCACACATGCCCCAACCAGGCTGGGGATCGAACCTGCAACCCAGGTACCAGCCCTTGACTAGGAATCAAACTTGTGACCTTTTGGTGCAAAGGCTGAGGCTCTACCCACTGAGAAGCACCAGCTAGGGCTCATTCCAACTTTTAAAAAGGTCCTTTAATTCTGGTCGGTTTGGCTCAGTGTTTGGAGCATCAGCCCAGACAGAGGGGTAGCAGCTTCAATTCCAGTCAAGGGCACCTGCCTGGGTCGCAGGCTTGATCCTGACCATGGTTGGTGTTATATTGGAGGCACCCAATCAATGTGTCTCTCTCACATCTATGTTTCTCTCTCTCTCCCTCCCTCCCTTCACTCTCTGAAAAAAAATTCAATGGAAAAATATCCTCGGGTGAGGTTAACAACAATAACAACATGTCTTTAAATGAATCCCCCTTTTCCCACAGGAGAACATTAGAACTCCTCTACCTGAAGTCCATACTCTCAACATCAGGCAACTCTTCATCCTTCTGTCTTCAGTCCTGTGTGCCTTCCATCTCACACATGGGAAAAGGGTTATGTGAGGCTCCCCTGGTCAGCATGGGAGCATCCGTGAAAGGACTGAAGTAGGAGCGTGCCTCTCCTATTGCACGGAGCCAATCCCACTGCTCATTAGAAAGCCTGTGTCTGACATCAAGCCTTGCTTAAGCTCAGTTCACCTCCTCCTTGAAGCCTTCCCAGAACACTGCAGCTCACATCAGCCTCCCCCTTCCTGAACATCTCAACTTCTTCCGGCATTTAGTGATATAACATAAGCATTGTTAGGTAGCTATCACTAAGTGTCTTTATCTAGTTGTGAACATACCAGAGAAGCAGAACTTTGTTTTGTGCAAACTCCCTCCACTGCTAGGACAGACTGTAATATCAGTAGAAGTTTATTCTTGATTATGGAATTGGTTAACTGATTCATTAATTAATAATTACATATTCTGTCTAGATTATTTTGAGACCCGCACACATGAAATAAAAGAAAGCTTATTGTTCCTTTCTGCCCAGCAGGCCAAACACTGGATTATTCATTCTAATATTTATCTTAGCCTCTCAGGTGACTACAATCAAAATGCTGGTTTCACACGCAGGGGGGTGACATGAGGCTGTCCCTTGGTCAGCATCAGACAGTCTGTGAAAAGACTGAGAGGACAGGCCCCCTGAGCCAGATCAGGACGACCTACAGCGAGAGCAGGTGGGTGCAGGAGATGCCCGGAGAGCTGGCTGCTGCTCCTCACCTCCACACAGGCGCTGCCTGTGGGCAAAGTCAGCACGACTCACACACAGCCGGCCTCAGGTGTCCGATGGGAAATACCTTAATGACTAAATCTAAGACACTAAGTGTGCACGTTTCCCAAAAAACACAGCTGACTGAACAAAACAAGTCATGCACAGAAGTTGACCGTGCTTCTTATTCCTGCCATGACCCACAGTAAGCTTGATGAGGTCAGGGGAGTTGCATTTTGAAAACGAATTCTGATTAGGATGCAAAAGAAGTATCTACTTCCCTTTAGCTTTTGTACTGCACAAAGTAGGTGTACATGTTACTTTTTTTATTGGGAGAGGTTTATGAGATGTTTTGTTTTATTCTTTTTCATTAAAAAGCATAGTAGAAGATGGATATAATGCAAGTAAGACATCCTGTGCTTGAGCTGTAACAGTGGATACACGGATAAGTATGGCATTGCAAACAAAGTGGCAGTGTCTGACAGCTATGAGCTATTGGTATTTTAAGTCGTCGTTCTGTCAAGATGGAATGGATTGGCCTTTGTCATTTATAGTGATAATCCATCCAAGGAAACCCCAACACTGCCATCGCTTCCTCATCATGACCAGAGTTGGGCACTTGGAGTGCACCACTGTCAACCACAGGGGTACACGCAATGAGCAGCACAATTCTGCCAGAAGCAGCCATGTGTGCTGTCCTCTCTCCTGGGCCCACTGCCCAGCAGCTCCAACAAAGTGCAGAGTGACTCTGACCAAGGTGGAGATGGTGCCACAGGAGCCCCCAAGCTTAGATTTTAAACAAGTAAGAAATAAGAAGCATGGTACTTACCTGGGCTAGTTGTTGAGGAATTAAAGATAATGCACGTTAAGTACTTAAAATACATGATAAATATTCCACATACATTAAGTAACCAAAACAGTAATAATAACACTAATACTACTACAGGTAATCCACCCTCAGAATGATCACCTCTGACTCCCCAGACTCAAGAGCTCATCATCCCGCTTAGTACAAAGTCAGAAGTGGTAAAATGGAGCTGACACGAGTCCTTCCAAATCACCCAGCATATAGTAGTAGGCCCTTGTAGGGCTGTTGGCATTCAACCCACTAGTCCATTGGGTTTGACTTACACCTTCAGAAGCCAAAGTGCCAAATCCAAGCACTGGCATGAAGTGCCCATCATTCAGTTTCACGGAATGACTATGTTTGGGGTCCATCACCGTTTACACTCCTGGCTAAGATGACTGGCACTTTCCTTCCTTCTCCGGACTGCAAGCCAAGTAGAAGCCAAGGCTCCAGAGTTGTTTATTTCTACCAACCACAAGCGAGGCGTGGCTGGGACGGCCACTACCCAGGATTCCACAGCGAAACTAATCAATGCCCTTTGTACTTCCAGTCCCGGCAGGCACGGCTGGCTCCCAGGAGTGTACAGAAATGTCACGCACACTGCTGGAGCTGGAATTTTCTCTCCAGCATTGCTCAACCTGGACTCCTAAGTTAACCACAAACAAAACAAAAAAGCATGTCAACTTGTCTTTGATCGTCACAGCATACTTACTCTACAAGGTGCAAAATAGTCATGAGGCTGGTCATTTCTAAACAATAAGTCTACTATAGGACCTTAGTTAAGTTCCTCACCCTTCATTTGTTCAAAAATACCATCAGAAAAAGATGTTATTTAGAATTTCTTGAACAGAGTTCAATGCCTGGTCCCAAGCAAACATGTAACAAAATTCCTTAGGAAACCCAACTCCTAATTTGACTGTATCTTTCCCCCCTGTATCAAGACCTCATTCCACCTTCTGCTTCTCTGTCTTATTTCTTTGACTCTTTCTTTCTTTCTTTTTTGGTGGTACGTGCCGGTAGCAGGAACCGAACCCGGGACTCTCTGATCCGCAGGCCGATGTTCAACCACTGAGCCAAACTGGCCAGGGCTTTTTTTTTTCTTTCTTTGACTCTTTATGGCAAGAAAAATAAACTGCCTGAGATACAGAATGAATTTCCATAGCTATGCCTCCTCCTGGTACAGCCTACCCAAGTATCCCCCTGTTCCCATCAGCCCTAGGACTCTGCAGCGTCCTGAAAGCAGGTGCTCCTGCCCACATCTTTTATGGCCTCGCTGGAGGGGTAGTCACTCTTTCCTGTGCCCTCACAGTGTCGTAGTGTCTATGAATGTTGTTCGGAAGCCCATATTAGTGAAATTACACTTTCAACTGATAAGAAACTTCTGCTAGATAAAACCCGAGTGTTGCTTTGTTTAATGTTACCATCATGCCATGCTTCCCCATCCTGTATTTATTTGTGCAGCTGGTGCTTTGCAGTCAACCACAGGATGCAACATTGTAATTTATCTGATTTTCAACCCATCCCTCTGGCTGGTCAAGGCCAGAATTCTACCAGATTCTATTATTCCATGTATTTAGTATTTATCACAACAATACATTTGATGAGCATACTTTTTACATTTTCGTTGTAAAATTAGGGCTAAATTCTGTGTCAGGTCACAAGAAAATTCTCTCAACTGATGTTATTAGCCTTGAGCACATCATTCAACAGGTTATAAATTAGTCTAATACCCCGTTTATCTGCCTGAATTTTGCTGTGATGAACTGCAGACACTATTTCCTCCTTACGTCCTGATTCAGCAGCCTAGGAACTTTGTCAGTAAGAGAGAATAGGTCTGTTTCTTCCTTACTAAAGTCATACTAGGCTCTCAGGCTCCCAGGATTCCATCTTCTCTTTTATGTTTATTTTTTATTTTTTTGCAAGTTGGGAGTTTATTTATTAATTTATTTATTTTTGGTTGTCTTTTTTAAATTTTTTGTTCTATTTATTTTTTCTTTTTTTATTTTATTTTTGTTATAGATGTTTCTCCTTTTTTACCCCATTGACACTCTCCTCCCCATTCCCCCCCCCTTCCTGTACCCGGCTTTGGTGTTCATGTCCATTGGTTATGCATACGTGCATATAAGTTCTGTGGTTTATCTCTTCCCACCCCCCACAACCCCCTCTTCTTAGGGTTGTCAGTCTGTACCTTACTTCCATGTTTCTGGGTCTACCCTATTCCTCAGACTGTTATATTGATTATATTTCATATATAAGTGAGATAATGTGGTATTTGTCTTTTTCTGCTTGGCTTGTTTCACTTAGTATAATACTTTCCAGGTACCTCCATGTCTTCAGCTTCTCTTTTAAAAAGGTCTCATCGAATGGATCGAAAAGCTGTGGTACATGTACACATGTACACATGGTGGGGGAGAGATAAACCACAGAACTTATATGCATGTATGCATGAACAATGGACATGGACAACAAAGCCGGGGACAGGATCGGGGGGAGGGTGTCAATGGGGTAAAAAAGGAGAAACATCTGTAACAAAAATAAAATTAAAGAAAAAGAAAAAGAAAAAGAAATTTGCAGTCTGAAACAAAAGAGATTATGATTTAGCTCAAATAAAAAACAATCCTAATTCATGCCAGCAGGGTCCTTGTGGGAGATCATTTGCGTATCAAACCAGCAAAACTGGAAAGTTAGCAGAGACCAAGTAATGGGTTTTTGTGCTAAACTAAATATTTCTAACTTAATCCTGGCAAGATGGATGGTTATGGAAGGATATTAGGCAGAGGAGAACTACGCATTGGTTTCAAATTTAGGAAGGCCCTGCTGGCTAAAGCTGGAGGAGAGCAGGCCTGAATAAGCATGGCTGTTTTTGTAACACAGGGGATGCATGAAGAGGACTTAAGGTAAAGACTTCTCATTTTCTAGCTTAAAGAACTAGGGTTGACAGTATTATTGAGCTTTATAGAGGACACAGGAGAAGGAGCAAGGTTTGTGAAGTCAAAGGAGTCATCATTTCAATTCTGAACATACTGAGTTTAAAGGCTCTACAGAACATCCAGATAGAAATACTTAGAAGGCCATTAGAAGGCAGGCCTGGAGCTCAGGCGTACAGTGTAGATTTAGTTACAGATTAGCTGAGCCATAGGGCTGCCCAAGAAAGTCACGAGGAATGAGAGGACAAGAGGGCGACGGGCGAGAACCTGCCTTATAGGATAGGCAGAGTCCACGTGGGAGGCAGAGAGCAGTAGGGTCTCACATCACAGACGAGAGGCAAGCAATTTCAAGGGGAAAAAATGTGAACACTTTCAAATGCTAAAAATAAAAAAGTCAATAGTGCTGATGGGTCAGGGAAGGCAAGGAAAGAGAATGCATCATTAGATTTGACACCGTGAAGGTAGCTGGTGATGGAGAATAATTTCACTGTGTGAAGGAGGAGAAAGTCCATGCGGGAGGATTCAAGAGGATGGAAGGACAGGGAAGAGAGATAGTGCAGATATATTTTTCAAACACTTTTGCCAGAAAGAGAAATGAGAAAATGATCAGTTCTCTTGCTCCCTCAAAGAAAACCTTACATGGTAGTTTCTTTATAAAGGGTTGTACACTCCCAGACCTAGAGGGACAATTCATGAATACCAACTTACTATGTTATCCTTCTCATATAATATTTATATTTTACAAGGGAAAATGGTTTTAGGCCAAAGACATCACTCCTTTCTGTTTGGGCCACAAGCCAGCCTGAGACAGACGTCCCTCCATTACCCTGCAGAGTCATGTGGCCATTGTGATGACTAAACCACACTGCACAGCCAACAAGCTGAGGCTCTGGGACCCTCCTGTTCTTTACGGTCCCTTAAAGAAAGTGTTAAGTAGAGCACAAAGACTTGGGTGGAGGATATTACTTAGTTAACCATATCAGGCACCAGGAAGTAACAATAGACTGTCTTGACATTGGAAAGTATGTCAAATAATATCAAGTGCCCTATTACTTCCAATAGCTCATGAGAATAAGATTTATAAACCTACCTTCTCATGCTGGCTGGAGCAATAGAGTATCTTTGCTGACGAGGGGCAGCCATAACTGCTGGAAGCATATGTCAAGAATTGGCACCAGTTGCAAATCAGCACTCTACCGCTTCCTGAAGAGAGTGCTGAAGTTTTTCTTTGCACCAGGAAATTATCTCTCTCTCCACCCACACACTGCTAGCGTTTCATGTCAAGAGTGGGAAGATGTAAGAGGAGGGGAAGATTTAACTGGTCGAGGGAAGGACAAAAAGGGTTTCTAGAATTTCCAGCCAGCACCAATCTTAGAGGCAATCCGAACAGCACTCTTGTCTGCCTAAGGCCAGTAGAGCTAGGTGACTCTCCAGCGCTCGCCCAGAAAGTTACTGGCAGAGCTGAGATTATAAAGGTGACTGGTGCTTTTTGCAAAATGCCTCACTATCCAGAAGGGCACTGCCATCTAGTGGTGCACCAGAGGATGTGCTCCGGAGCCAGACTGCCTGGTTCAAATCCAGCCCTGTCACTGATGCTTTGCCTCTGTGGGGAGCTTCCTGAATCTTTTCTTCAATGTGCAGTAAATTGGATGAGCTACTTGCCTTCCCTGGGCAACACCACATAGGACTGTTGGGAGTCATGAATAACTTAAGATGGAAAAGCGCTTAGCTCATCACATCAACAGCACTCAGTGAATGTTAACTTGATGTTATTGCCTCTCTGAGACATTCCAGTCTAAGAGTTAGACACTTCTACCAGAAAAGAGCCTGCAGTTATTTAAGGAAGAATAACAAGTTTAAACGTTGTGAAAGGCCAGTAATGATTCTTCTTCACTGGGGGGGCAATGGCAGCCCTCAGAAACTCCTCTAGAGAACTGGCAGGCCTGCTTGAGGCAGCCATGAGCTCGCCACCGACCGGGTTCTTGAAGGACACAAGCAGCCCTTTAGGATGCCTTCAAGGGTGAGGGAAGAAGGCCAAGCACGAAGCCCCTGGGCAGATGCCAGGCAGCCAGCAGACCCACTGAGCCAGATAGTGAGGGACTGGTGTCAGCAGCCCTTGGGACCAGAGGGGTGGGAGGGAAGTTGGAAGGGGTGGAGGGAGGCCCAGGGAGATAAGAACCTAACTCATAGATAAGAACAGCCCTGAACAACCTGTGAGCCAGGATCTGTTTACCTGCTTCCAGATCTGGGTGGGTCCCTGGGAGAAAACTGGCAAGGAGCTAAGAGAGCATCATAGCCCTGCAGCTCACAGGTTCCCTGGTGACTGGGTCCCACTTCCTGCCTGTAAAACCTGATGTCTTTTTGCTGAAAAGATAACACCCACGCCAGCCAATATTGTAAGAGTTGCGTCATCTTAAGATTATGCTCCCCAAAGTCATTTTCCACACTCTGTCAGGTATTGCCTAAAAATTGACTTTTTAGCCATTTTTCTTGCTTCACTTTGATATGTCCGAGACATG